GTTTCAGAGAAAGTTTGTCCAATGTCCGTCCAATGTCAAAAATCATGTCTCCTTTTGTCCGAAATCTGTCCAAAGCATGATTTTGTCCGACAACTGTTCTAAAGGTGGATATGGAAAATAGTTGTGTTAGTTTCAGAAACTAGAATTTAATGTTATTGATTTGTTTTAAATGGCTTTTTAGTGGCCCTAAATTGCCTGCAATCACCGTAGCTGAGGAATCAATTAACAAATTAAGGTCTAATACGAATACTACATAAAAATGCATTTGTATGATAAGTTGATTTTCCAATTTTGTCCAAAAAATTTGATTTATCCACCGAACTTCAAGGTGGACTTGGGACAAAAACAGACTTCCGAAGATACGAGTTCTGATCGGGACCTGTAGTCGGCACTCGTTCATATTTACCTAACATTAGCATCGCAAACATGCTGCTGCTAAAATCGTGGGTCTGCGGTATTTTTTACGTTTTTTTTTTACTTCCCCCCCCCCCCCCCCACAAAAATGGAGCCCTTCGTTGAGGTTTTTGACCTGACCTCAGAGGTCAACGGTTGCCCTGAGACCTTCAATTCAGCTAGGGCACCAGCTGTTGCGTCTCCTAATGGTGCACAGGCTCGTTTTTTCACGAAGCTCTAGGTCAAATAGGACCAAAGCGCCGCGGCGAGGACTTTCTCACCCCGTCCTCGGCCCGGGCCCACATAGGACATCAAAGATTATGCATTAGTGCATCGATCTCTGTTAGAACTCTGTTGATTACAGAGTTCTAAGGCAAGTGGAACACTTTGGCGCAGTATCTTTTTTAAACAAATTGGATCGAATGTTGGAATGAAAGCTTTGATAGAGCCGGAATCCAAGTTACATAGAGCTCATTCCGCAGGCCTCGATCCCTACTGCCTGATCGGGCAATGCCATATAATTGGGTACATATTTATGGCAAAGTTTAACATAGCCATCACAGCCAGACTCGGCCTCTCCCACTCAACTGACTTTTACCATTATCCCATCAGGAGTCCCATAATACAACTCTCTACCAATCGAGCTAAAGGAAGCCCCTTATCTGGTCAGATTCTGTACAGGGGTGTCTTGGGGCCACAGCACACTATTTTACGTAAAGCTATCCACATTTGAGCTCACTCATTTAGTGCCACCCACCAAGTGCCGCGAATCTGTGAGCGGGCTATGCGGCACAGCCTACCTACAGGCGTTTACAACTAGCGCCATCTATGGACGGGTATTGCTGCCAATACGCAGACTGAATTGACGGACAATCAAACAACCTTCAGAGACATTCAGTGGCGCATTTCATTGGGTTATGCATTGAAAAAGAAAATATATGTTTTCAATTAAGTTTGATGCGTCACGTGCGACACATAGACATGCGCAAACACGTATCACTAATCAGTGAACAATGCACTAATGCAGTTAGCGCAGACATGATGATTTTGTATTGGTTACTTATGGTGAATATCTGAAGAAGCATTTAAATGAATAGCGCTGAAAAATGATTTGTGGATGCCCTTGATATGCATCTTTGAGCATACGCATTTGTGCATTTACTTATGGTAGCTGCGCCCTGGTAGCCGCGTTACTAGAGCCCGAGAAGTCGAAATAGTCACATAAAAACATGGCGTATAGCGAATGCTGCTTCGATTCTGGTGCTGGAAATCATGCTCTGGCATCAGAGTTTCAAACCCACAGAAAGAACTGAAACAGATGTCACACATAGGGACAAGTGGAGCTCTGCAATATCCCAGCCAGCGAATAATTCACGAGACCCCTTGGACGGCTATGTTGGCTTTTCTGCAATACATCTAAAGAAAAAACTGAGGATATCATTTATCAACATTATCTAAGAACGAATTTCATGGCAAATTGTCCCAATATTCCATTGAAAAGATTAAGCAGTTTTGTATAGTGCCAAGTTTTAGGAATTGACGACCAATACGACACCCAAACACCTTCATCGAAGCACAAACGTCCTTTTCAAGACCAATGCAAACCAGAACAAATCAATACAAAGTCCTATGAAAATAATGGTTGGCGCCACTCATCTAAATCGGCCCGTGAGGTAAGGAAGCGAAAAGAGTTTTCAACGACACGTCGTGACGCCTTGCAGTCGAGGCGAGACAGTGCAAGTTATAAAATGGTAGTTGCAATGGGACGCGACGAGAGGATCAGGGACACGTAAGTAGCGACGTGAAGTGTTGTAGCGACTGGCGGGAGTTTGCTAGCATTTCTGATCCCGCTCGGGTCCAGGATTCTCTGACACTTTTAACAATCTAACGGCTCTCCCCGCGCCAAACTTTCCTAAAGTCGACCCCCGTCTCAAGGGGCACGACACAACTCTAGTCTCCCTGCGCGGTAGGTGTTATTTTTTAGACGAACTTAGAATAGATCCAAGCCAAGGCCTTGTTATCCGTCGATGGGAAAGCATGACACAGAGACGCGTGATACTCCACACTTAGGTACGATTGGATCTACACTTAAACAAATTATTCACCCAGTGTGGCAACAAACACCATAAGGTTACTTTTTGGACGAACACAAACGTCTATTCCATTACCGCAAAACAAAATGGAAAATGTTGACGAAGATGTGCACGACTTTGGGTGTGGTGCCTCACGTGTCTTCGCGTGGGGCCCAGTGACTGGCAACATATAGACTTTGATTTATTGTCTTTTTTACAAAAAGAATAGAATACGTGTCAGGCAGTCAGCAGTGAGACAGAGCCTGAACAGCTGAACTGTAATTAACAAATGAAAATAAAACCCAACAAGAATGCAGACATGCTTCATGCTTTTAGTCAAATCATTCAACAAAATAAAAGCTTGTAGTTCAGCGATAGGCGTTATCACAAGTGTATTCGCGGCCATTGGGGCGACGTAAGAAAAGAAGAAACCAACTGGCCCCAAGAACTTTAAATTATCAGTTAGCATGCACCTTTTCCTTGATGTGTAGAGAATTTACCATTATTTGTTACAGAAAATTGCATTTAAAATCTTCCATTTATGCTTTTTTCATCGTTTGCACAATATGTTCTTTTACTAAGCTAGAAACACTAATTAGAAATAGTTCCCGCATCATCAAGAACAATAGGGAAGGCTTGAAGTGAATAAAATAATTTAAACGGTTTTGTAATCTATGTGAGGGCACTTCTAAAATTGCCTGTAGAAATATTGAAGGCAAAAGTTCAACTTTTTCACAAGACGGATGTCTATAAACCTATTTAACTTGTGACAACTCAGCCGGTATTTCGTCGCCTACAGCCCAGCTTTCCCTAGTGACCGATAGAGGCGCTGCTATCGATGTCCGCCCGTGCCGCCTAACGGGACGTAGTAATGAAGCTTGGGCCAAACAAAACATTTTTATTCAAAATAATAGCAATATTTTATACTAGTGGAATATAGATGAGCATTTCCCGTACACTATATAATGGCAAATGCACGCAAGCATGTATCGTTTCAATATTGAGCCATAAATGCAAACATGCCATATTAGAGTCCATGCAAATATAAGTAATAGGTATGCTTATCAAAGTGGATCAGATTCACTCGCTATTGAAGAATGTACGATGAAGCAATATTTAGAGATTGTTTGCGTTTTACTAATGGTTGACACGAGCATGCAAGTATTTTAGCAATTGACGTCGGAAGCCAAGTATATGGGAATGGTCCAATGCGTCACTGCTAGGAGACAGGCATACTGTGAATGGATCCGAATGTTGGATCAGTGATCTCAGTAAGTTCCAAAGCAGACGTTTAGTAAGACTCTGTACTACTATTGAATCAAATATGAAAATATATAATGCACGCATGATCACATATGATCTGGCGACAAAGGAAATGATATAACCGCTGTGTGATCCCACAAGACGCAGCCTGTGTGATCATGATCATGATCCCGAGCAATTTCAGGTTGAATAGCGCCACAAAGCCGCGTATTGTTAACTGCAGTTACATTGGATCCCTGAAAAAGAACCATTGCAAATTGCGAGACGTGTAGCACTTAAATACAAAAATAGCATATTGCTCTGTAAATCCTACACAAATCGGGATCAAATTATGATCTCTCGACGATGAAGCATCTATGATCTCATCGGATCCGAGATCCGTATCTGCAAGGAGCAGATCTCCGATTAATTTTATCAGACGAATGCATAAGTCTGCTGTATTACGAAACAAACTCTGGCTGCTCTTGTCCAGTTAAACACCACTTAATTATCGTAGGGCAAAAGGAAGGTCAAAAACGTTTTTAGCCAGATTTACGTGCACCTGAGTACCTAAACCATTACTCTCAATTCAGATTGACATATGTCGCGAGATGATTTGTTTTGAAAATATAATATTCACAACCTTGCTTCTGAAGAAAATTATGTTTCCACTAGGAATGGAATTCCTGAGTTTCCAGCTCTTTTCAGAACAACCAATATGCCAGAACAACAACCAATGTGTCACTTTATACTGATATTCTTCACTTCGCCTGTCCGCCAAAAAAAAAAAAGAAATCTGTCGATACAAGATGGCCGCCTGCGAGCGCCGGCCGCCATATTGTAGAGAGGCGTCCGTTACTCATCGGCAAACTGTGACATCACAGGGTGATAGCAGCGCAGACGTCTGGCCAGCCAACCACACCGCGGCACCGCCGGTGTCGGATCAGAAAACAAACTTCAAGTGGGCAAACCCGCGTAACGATTCCAAGGCCTCGGCAGACTGTCCTCAGATAAAAAATACCGCCTCGGGTGTCTGCAATCACCCGAGGGGACCTACCTGGTCAAGCTCCACTTCTGTTTGCAGTCATCACAAATACCCGAATCACTTTAACACTGCACTGTCAAGCACTGAGCGTGAACTCACATTCGTCGCGAGCACTCGATCTCCAGGTCGCTGTTGGCCGCTGCTCCTGTCGGCCGGTCGGCTCTTCGACAGAGGTGGCGCACCAGCGGCGGCGGCCGTCGGCGGCAGACAGTTGCAGCGCGCCCTGCAAGGGGCGGGAAAATTCAAACCGAGCCGCGCGCCGCCGGCGGCCGGCTCTCATTGGGCGGAGCGCGCAGGGTAGGGGCGGGGCCTGCTGCTTCCGGGTCAGCGCCGGCGCCGGCGGATCCGGGAGTGGAGTCGCGCCGCGATTCGCCGCGCTGCGGCATTCGCGGCGCGGTTCCGGGATCTGCGCCCGGGCGGCGGCGGCGGCGGACCCGACAGCCGAGAGCGGCACGCCCGCCGCCGCCGCCGCCGCCGCCCGAGCCGCCCGACGCCGGCGCGGCCCCAGACGGCTGGCCCGAGCTGTCAAACATGGCGTCCAACTCTATATGACGTCACCAGGCACCAATGCGCTCGTGCCAGGCGAGGCAACCAGATCGGCGCGGTCAGACAACAGGACATGCGACGAATTAACGGCCGGTTGGCATTCCGCTAACGTATAATCTGAGTTCTACAACAGGCTGCAAATATGCCACCAATTTAGTGGCTTTGTCTGTTAGGTAGAGATTGACAGAACCAACACGGCTAAGGTATGCTTCTGATTCTGATAAATTCGGTATTCGGGCTAAGTCAGGGAACTGGTACCTACACTCTATCACCAAAGAATAATTAAAACTGATATATAGGTAGATATGGAGATATTCTATTCGAATCTTCAAATTATACATACATTTTATACTTTAATGATGCTGACAAAGACCTAAACGAAGTCCTTCAAGATTCAAATGGTCTATCCAAAAGCCTCAGCTAAAAACAAAAGCCGTGAACTGTGATGCCTTCAAGTGGTAAAATCGTATGCGGCGCAAAAAGTCATAAAAAATGGATGGCCGGCAGCGGCAAACCAGAAATGAGAGACATAGAGAGAGAGAGAGAGAGAGAGAGAGAGAGAGAGAGAGAGAGAGAGAGAGAGAGAGAGAGAGAGAGAGAGAGAGAGAGAGACAGAGAGAGAGAGACAGAGACAGAGACAGAGACAGAGACAGAGACAGAGACAGAGACAGAGACAGAGACAGTGACAGTGACAGAGACAGAGACAGAGACAGAGAGAGAGAGAGAGAGAGAGAGGGAGAGAGATGGGGGATGGAGAGGGAGAGGGACAGGGAGAGGGAGAGGGAGAGGGAGATGGCAACTAAGAAAGAATGAATGAAAGAAAGATAGATGGGAGGATAAAGAGGGAAAGAGAGAGAAAGAAGGATCTGGAAGCCATATAAGAGACACCAGATTGGGCCGGCCGTAACTACGGAACGACAGCAACAAAGCCCAACTAACCAAAGATGCCAAAGAGGATTGGAACATAACTATTGACTTCAGACAACGAACAGGACCATAGAACAACTACAGACACGCAGAACCCTAGGCCAACACCAACAAACAGACCATAGCCCAACTGCAGTCTTTAGATAGAACCAGAGCCCAATTACAGACAGTAAACAGAACCAGAACCCAATTTCAGACAACACTGGAAGAGCCAAGTGGCACTTGCAGGGCAAATTCACAGCACCCGAAATCGATGAATGTTTGTCGTTTTTCTAGAAAGGAAAGACTAAAAAAAAATTATCAGGAAAGTCTGTTTTAGACAGTACAGGTACAGCAGTGCAATAGCAGTGCAGTAAATTGTTTTTGGAATTCGGAGAAACCGTCAAGGGGTATGTCTGCCTCAGCATCTGAGACCGCCTTGCTGGATCCGTCTATGACAGACAACAGACAAAGCCAGAGCCTAACTAGACACCAAGTAGGACTTGAGTTCAACTACAGACAGCAGACACGACCAAAGTCCTACTACAAACCAGACATGTGCATGGATCCGAGTGATGGATCTATGATCTCAGTGGATCTCGAAGCAAACTGCAGGTTTGGATCAATGATCCCATCGGATGCGGGGTGAAAAAAATACCCTGGATCTATGATCTCACAGGATCTGATGAAAAGCCAAGAACATGGATCTATGATCTGAGTGTGATCCCACCACGCACAACATTTGAAACCAAGTTTTCAAGTGTTTCTACGTCAATTAGTGCCATACAACTATGGCTTATGATGTGCTATCACATAAATCACTAAATAAGAACGATTTTGAGTTGCAACGAGTGATTTTTTTTTGGGGGGGGATTTCTGTGCTGACAAAAAATAAATGAGGATCTATGATCTCATTTATAAACAAAACCATGAGACTCGGATCTATGATCCCAACGGATCTCTCGATAAATTTAAGAACTGGATCTATGATCCCGACGGATCCGAGATCAGGATACGTGGGTTCAGATCCCAGATCCATTTTTTCGGATCCACGCACATGTCTGCTACAAACAACAGACAAGCTAGAACTCAGCTACAGGCACCAAAATAGAGTCTGCGTCCAAGTGCAGACAACACACGGGACCAAATACCAGCAACAGACAAACGACCAGGTAGAATCCAACTACATACACCTCACACCAGGCGGGACTGGGGCCCATCTACAGACAACAGATAGAACCAGAGTCCGGAGGCAACTACCTATACCAAAGAGCAGTCAGAGCCAAAGCCAATACAGCAGGCAGTGAATGTAGCAAACAGCTACAGGTTACAGTCCGGTCATGTCTCTAGGGCAACTGGATCTAGGGCACACACAGGCCATCCCAAGGCTGGGAGAAGCTTGGTACTTGAGGTGAGCTCTGTGAACGATTCATTTTGAAGAAGCCTGGCCAATAATGGCATTAGAGGTCCAGTTCAAACATGTTTTGTGGAAAAACTTGTCATCATATGATGATAATGAAGAATGGCTTGAATAAGAATGATCATCGATTAGCTAGAGCTCAACATGTAAAATGCAATTCAAAAGTGTAACATTCGAAGAATGAAATTAACGCATTGATGACGAAGGGTCATATCTTGTATCGAGAGTGCATGCTGCTGTGCACTGGGTATTGGGTGCAGAGATTCATTGTTATATAAGACACACATTTTCGCCAGCGAGGCAGGTGCCTTACGCCACAGTACAGACGGAAATGAAGGAACTAAGTACAAATAATTCGGGATGAAGTGGGCTGAATATGCATTGCGTTACTGACGGGGTGCATTGCTTTTGTTAACTCCTAAACGTTGTGTGCAGATATGCTTTGCAGTGTGCGCTATTGATACAGACAAACAAAGAAAGGAAGAAATTGCACAACAAAACGGTCAATAAATGTACATTTAATTTTAATGCTGGCACATAAACTTTTTTATTTCTCTAAAACTACATTCAGGATGAGATGCCTCTTGGGCAATGTAAGAGCCCATGCAGTAATCACCCATGTGCAGGTAGCTGAAAAATAAAAGACAACGAAAGGCAGAGAGAATGAGAAAATAAAAAGGGGAGATAAACTGGGAGAGAAGACAAATAGAGATGGATAGACGGAAAGCAAGAGCAATACCAATGCAGTAAGAAATAGATGGAATGAGAAAAGAGAGAAAGAAAGCCAGAAATTAAAGACTAAGACACATAACCCGCGCCCCGTAGGGCTACCGGCGGACCCTACCACCCGTAGGGGGGGGGGCCGTATCGGCCCCCCCTAAGATCTGGGAAAGTTACCGGCCGATTTTCAAAATTCAAACGGCATTCGATAGCCCCACCCGGGAACTACCTTGTGACCAAATTTCATTGACCTAGGTCAAACCGATGACGTCACAGGTCAGGTCAAAGGTCAGATTTTCACCGTTCACAGGCAATTCAAGAAATGTGCTGTGAAAGCGAGTAAATTGGTAATTTATTGAAAACCATCGATGGTACATTGTTCGTCAAACACATACTTTGCTATCTGAGGTCACTGATACCAGGTCAGGTCACAGCGAGGTCAGGTCACCGGGGGTCACAATATGAATGTGTCGTGTGATACATGTTTTATGGTCCATTTTACATGACAAATGCGATTATGTGGGTTAGGCAGCCTTTGGGGCCAGCCTAGGTCACGTTTTTGTGAAGGTCAGGTCAAGGTCAGGTCAAATTAGGTCAAATTTCAAAGTTGATATTTTTGCATAAAATGGGTATCGATTCGATGCAGCTCGTCACGGGGAGTCTAATGGTGGTCTTCGTTTTGCTCTACGAGTTCTAGAATTGCCAAAAATTGAGTTTGAAAATTTGACGTCATCATTTTTGAACAGTATTTTCGCTATAACTTGGCCAAAAAACGAGGTATCGATCTGAAATTTGGTATGTAGATAGAAGACGGTAGGCACTATCACATATATTCCGGTTGTTTCGAAACTCAAAAAACTTTTTGGATTTTTCGGCGAATATATCCAAAAAAATGCTTTTTTGATTTTTGGGGGTCAAAACTCAAAAATTTCAAAAATTCGAGATAGCAGTTTTGTAGCCCTGTCAATTCTACACCTTTTATGTCTTGATCATTTTTCTGTATCTTCAAAGCTGTAGTCCTGACAGGTCTTCTCGCGAAGGTCTTTTTTCGGTCGAAAATGACAGAACATGACGTCACTCTGACGTCATTTGTGGCCAACCTATCATAGCCGCTGGAAAAAGTTTTGGTCACAATGTGTAAAATTGATGCCCGGAGGGGTCCTGAAAGTTTGGTGGCGATATCTCCAGCCGTTTAGGAGATATCGACCGAAAAGGACAGGGGGGGCCGTTTCGGCCCCCCCCCCCCTACGGGGCGCGGGATAACTGAATGACAAAGAAAGAAGTAAAGGCAGAGAGGAAAGGAAAAGAAAAGAAAACAGAGACAGAGAACAAAAGCGAGAGAGAGAGAGAGAGAGAGAGAGAGAGAGAGAGAGAGAGAGAGAGAGAGAGAGAGAGAGAGAGAGAGAGAGAGAGAGAGAGAGAGAGAGAGAGAAAGAGAGAGACAGACAGACAGACAGACAGACAGACAGACAGACAGACAGACAGACAGACAGACAGAAACAGAGAAAGAAGGGGCATTCGTCTGTCAGATGACCCAGAAAGTACGACTGACAATCCTATAGCCTGACATGCACAATTTAGCTCTCAGAACATTCATGCCATGTACCCGGGCCGGGCTTGCAGACGCAACAGACGACTCTGACATGTAGGTCAGCCGGCTGGTCGGACTGTACTAGAGATGTCAATCGTATAACAACTTTTTGGTATACCGATACCAAACCGATACCAACTTGGTATTTGGTATTTCAATCGTAATGTGTTTGGTATTTTGTTGGTATGATGAACCCTCACTAATGTATAAGAGGCTAAGAAATCGGTAAAAATTTGGTATTTCCCTCATTTTCCCAACTTGGTTTGGTTTCGGTATTTACCCATGGTCTTGGTTGGTATTTGGTTTGGTATCGGTATTCCGATTTTCCGTAATTGACATCACTAGACTGT